AATTCTCAAATAATAAATTAGGTAGAAATGGAGATACATCCCACCCTGTGCCCCTGAGACAGCACAGCCCTCTCTCTGGGTGCTGGAAGGGGTGGTGGCACCAGGCTTTTCATGTCGATGGAGAAGCCTATCTCAAGAGGAAGGAGACCTTCACTTACAGTCCTTCCCAGTCTCAACAATGGTCCTGTCGTGTCTCCAACCTTCCAGCACTCGAATGGTTTTGTGGCTTTTATGGGCATGGCAACTATTCAGAAGCGCATGTGGTGCTTGAGTAACTCAAATACATGTCCTGCGCTAGCACAGTATTCTTGGTGTAGGCTGTATATACTTGTTTGTAGCCTGGTGGCAATAGTTGTGTGGACATTTCCCTGCTAAGGCGCAGTCTAAGGTTGCATGCATGTCTGTAGTTCACATCCCTTAGACAGGATGAAATCCCCAAAGGTGGTCAGTCTCCGCTGGCTGCAGTGCCTGCACCTTCTGCTTCTTCCTCCAGCTTCTTCAGATTGAATGAACATGGTCAAAATTGTGTAGAACAGAGATGAAGCCCCTTCAAGATTTTTATAAGCTGGAGGAGGCTAATTCTTCGTGTTTCAAGTACACAGTACGTTTGCTCTACACAAGTCCCAGCATTGGGCCCAGACTTGCAGAAACCCGAATGTAAATTTTAGTTTAACAAGTACCCATGAAAAAAATGTGGATTTGTGAAGGAAATGATAAAGTCACAAGGAGAATATGTATTTGCTAGTTTCCACAGGAGAATTTACAGGCAGAGACATTTACAGTAGATACAAACCTCTAAAGCAAAAGCTCTGCATGTAAGTAGCACAGCCCAGCACTCACACAGAGATTGGCATCTTCAAAGCACCGAGAAGATGTTTGTTAATTATACTACAGCAGCCTTGGAGGCTATCAGGCAGGTATTAATATTACTGCATTACAGTCAAAGAAGTTATGTAATTTAGTTGACATTAAGGACAGTCACAACAACCCCATGAATAGTGCACATTTTCCTTGCCTTTACGTTTGCGTGTTGCTGAAGCTGCTGTGCTCCTGAAGGGGACCGCACAGATACAGTTGTGTTTTGAAAGGGGCTCATTCCCTCTAAACTTATGTTTCTAATGAACCGGGGGTGAGCAGATGTAAGACAACGTGAAGTACTAGCTGTCCAGTGTCGCTGGGGTTAACTCTCGTTTAGGGCCTAATTCAACAGGTCGCATGTACTGGACACTTGTCCGTGTGCCCAAGCCAGCGCACATGGGTTTTCTCCTACCCCTGCTTGCTCTTGGGTCTCCTGCTGAGGTGACACAGGCCTGTGTGTCTTTCTGTTCTCCCAAAAGACTTCTGAACTCGCTGTTTAGCTTTAACCATATCCGACAGCAGGCTTGAGATCTCAAAAATCCCTGTATGTTTTGTGAAAATACATGGCTGATTAGATGAGTCAAATCCTTCTGCTTAGGAAAAGGCTTGTCTGTTTGCTCCTTAGACACCAGAGACCAGACATGGAAGAGCCCTGGTCAGAGTTCATCCTGTAACAGCCACCAGAAAAACAGCACATGAGACTCAAATCCAAGGAACAGCTCGTTTGTCTGCTCTTGGAATGGCTTCTTTCTTTCCCTTTTCTTATCTTTTCTTAACGTCTCTTGCGTCTGCAGTGTTGACTGTTGTGTTTCTGGATGCTGTGATGTGGACTGCTGTCACTGAACATTGGCCTGGCATCAAAATGTGAATCGTGAGTCTCTCTGCTGCTGGGAAGTCCTGATTTTCCCGCAGTACCTATACCTTTTTTCAGGCAGTGGAGGCTTCTGGAACTGG